CTTCTAGGCCCTCTAGTGGAGAGAGAGAGAATTAAACAGGTGAAGCTAGAATGACCTTAGAGCAGAGGGGGTGAGGGAGGGGGTCACGTGACAAAGACTGTCCATGTCATCACAATAATCTGTTCACAAACAGTGCTGGTCCCTTCTCTATTTTTGCTATCTGCTGCCACCTAGTGGACTGACAGTTTCAGTTGTATAGTTCTGGTCTGTGTCAGGCCCTGACTACCAGGTGAGTCCTGGTCCGGGGGCCGCAGGTGCAGGTCAGTGACTGTGTGTCTGTTTGCAGGAGCGTCAGTTTTCTACGGAGCCGCACAGCAGGCCGGGCGGAGAGCGCCACCTTCCTCCATCAGCGGGACTACGTGGTCATCTTTCTCCTCATTCTCCTTCAGGTCGTGATTAACTACGTTTTTCAGTAGCAGCCATATTGAGCCCACGGACAGAGTGATGTCCAAACTGAGGCTCCCTCAGCCTGGGGGGCGGGGCCACACAGAGGTACAGAGACATATGAACACACAGTACACACTCCACCTGTCTCCTCCACCTGTCTCCTCCTCTGTCTCCTCCTCTGTCTCCTCCTCTGTCTCCTCACTCGCTGACTTCAAGAGACCTTTAAAAAAAAAATTATTTATTTTTAAGCTGAACATTCCAAACCTGTTCTGTGGATTTCAAAGTGGAGTCAGTGGGCGTTTTTAAAAAAAAAACAACCTTTTTTTTGGTGTTTTAATTATTTTTTCACAATGAAGTAAAATCACATTTCACTTCTTGAAGACGGGCCCAGTTCCCTGACATGGAACCATTTCACAGACATGAAACTGATGTTGACGTCCGTACGGAGGAAAACAGGTTTTAAAAAATATATTTTTTAATGTTGTTGTTGTTGTTGTTGTTGTTTTTGGGTTTATTTTCCTTTGTTTTTATTTTTGTACAGTTGGAAACGATGGATGGTCCAAAATCATCCGTCTTTTATTTTTTACTCTCACAGAAATGAAGAGGAAGATGAAAAAAAACCATCTGTTCCTCGTGTGAAATAAACCACTGTTGATGGAGATGTTTGACACATCTCTGACCCCTGTAGGCAGGATGTAGAAACAACAGTGTGCTTTAGCCGTTAGACTTTTATGTACAGTCGTTTATGTTGACGCACAGTGACACTGAAATGATTGTACTGTTAACTCACTGTCCTTCATCCCTTCGCTGAAATACTTCCTAGTTCCAGAGGAGGGCAGTATAACGTTATAGGTATTTGTGCTACGTAGAAAAGTGGAGCAGTCAGCTAACAAACAAACAAACGCCGTTTCTTTTCCGTTCCTGTCTCCCGTCCACAGTGGGACAACGCTCCTGGAGAGTGTTGGACATTTACGTTCAAACTAGGCTCCACCTAAACCTCCTGCACTTAGCGCCACCTTCAGGCCAGGGAAGGGAAACTACATGCTCACAGCTAACTGACAGAGAACTCCGTGTTAAAAACGATGGTGGTTTCAAAGAGTGGCCCACGGGACACCTGTGGGCCAGGCAGCACCGTGGAGCGGTCCACTAGAGACACAGGGTCAGCTGGCGTCTCGACGGTGACTACGCATTCCGCTGACACACGTCACTTCTTCATGACATGAATCAGACTTTGATAATTACAGGAATTCCGTTTAATACGTCAGTTTAATATGTTATATTAAATATATTTACTAGATTTGTGACAATAAGAGACAGTGGACTGTCAACACAGGACAAGTCAAATTAGTCCAACAGTATTTAGACTGTAGTAGTTGTAGGTTTAAATACTGCCGAGTACACGGTTGTGTGTATTTCCTGTGTACATGTTCTCACATATACTTCTTCATGGTCTCTTCAGTACTTTGTGCCTCACATGTTGATCAGGTGAATTAGACGTAGAAACGTACGTGAGCCACACCCACCAATCAGACGACACTACACCCACCAATCAGACGACACCACACCAACCAATCAGACGACACCACACCGGCCAATCAGACGACAGGACACGTGTGTACGAGGATCGTTCCCTGAAAATATCAGAGACGTAGAACACAAAACAAAGTCCCTCAAACACTGTGTCGTTCTGTTTACTGCCACCTGCTGACAGAGTAAAGTACAGCAGGACGTTAAAGGTCTGTGGTTTCAGTTTTTATTTCCTCCGTGATTTATTCATTCGTTCTTCTACTGCCTAGTCCAGAGCCAATCACAGTAGTCATCAGGTGGGGGCGGGGCTACACCCTCACACCATTCACACCCGTGTTCACACCCGTGTTCACACCCGTGTTCACACCCGTGTTCACACCCGTGTTCAGCTCAGAGTGAACGGTGAACCTGGCTGAACCTGAAGTTCTTTTTAAACAGTACCAAAAACCGTCCTTCCATCTTAAACCTGTTGGAACTTTTTGAGCCGTCGTGTTTAACCCTGTCACTGCTGACTGACACAACACAGGACCGACGGTCGGACCGACGGTCGGACCACTGCAGGCCTGTTGTGACGTCTGTGTGACCCGGCTGGCCCGTGCATATTTATATGTGTGTGTTTGGTGTGTGTGTGTGTGTGCTGGCAGGTGTGAATCTCCAGATAAATATTTATCTTGCGTCCAGCCTTGGTTTCAAGTGTGTGAGTCGGAGAACCGATCTATACATACATATATACATATACCTGTTCAGTCGGTGTAGCCCCCTGCTGGACGTTTTTTGCACAGTTGTGTTTTTTTTTTTTTCATGTCTTCTTCTTTGGTTTAGCTGAAGTTGAGAATTCGTTAGAATGTGGAGAAAAGAGTGGAAACAGTGCCTTCTACAGTCCAGACCGGGGAGAAGATGAGGAGGGTTAAGGTCTATGGAGGCAGGGCTGAGGGTGG